TCGGATACGTATCCGATACGGATACGGGATCTATTTTCACTATCCGTGCTTCAGAGACTAAAATGAAGCATAAAGCAACTTTAGTACGTGTAGTCTATTTGGGTGGCTAACTTATTTATCAATAAAGTATACCAAAGAAATCTAACATCTCACACGTACATTCAAGTGATAACAAGGGGCATAGTGAGAAGCATGAAAAAAAAAACATATTAGACAACTCTACAAAGTATTTATAGCAATGTCTGTTCAAACTAATTAATTAAACAACTAAGTATTCAAACATTCTGATTTGTGTACCGTTTGTGCAACATTTAGTGCTTGGATAGTGCAAATATTTCCTTATCTGAGAATTACCAATGGATTTTGAGGGATTAATGGCCAACTAACTAGTATAGGTAGCAGTTGAATACCCACGAAACATTCATCAGGTGGAGGCCGTGTGTATAACAAATTTTAGGCATAAGATAAATTTTTTATTTTCATATGATTAACCATTTTTTTATTCTTTTAATTTTTAAACAATAAAATCATTATTTAAATTTAATAATTAAGAAATTTTAGCATCTCACTCAATAATAATTCATTCAATCACTATTTTACAACATAATATCAAATTAAATCTAAATTATTTAGTTTTGAAAAAAATGATAATGACAGTATTATTTTGGGATTAAATGACAATATTTAGTTTTGCAACAGAGGTGGAATGCCTTTATATAGTCTACAATGATTGAGGAGATTATGGTAAGTTGGGATTAAATGCATTGTCCTTCATAAAGTTGTGAATATTATTTTTTATACTTAATGTCATTGTATGTTATTTTTTGTGGGAGGAAATAAGAAAGGTATTTAGGTAAAGAATGAAACCTCCACACACTAGACATTTCATGGGAGTTATGAAAAGCTTGAGAAGGAGATGATCAAGGAGAAGACTATGCAATGTCAACTGTAAGCAAGAGTGATGTCCATCACTTGGAACTTGATATTGAAAGTAGTGGGTCCAATCTAGATTGGTAAGGTAATCTCTTCCATTACTTCCTTTCTAGATCTGTCAATAGCTCGGACGATCATGTGGCTTGGTCGCATCTAAACTCCATTGATTGAAAATTTGTCAATGGTGCTCTTGGGTAGCACATTCAAGGAGGATCCATTGTTCACTAAGACTTTGGCGATGAGGAACTCTTTGCACTTCACAAAGATGTGCAAAGGTTTGTTGAGGTGAGATGATTCACCCCTTTGGGGGACTAAGATTGAGAAACGATTCCCCCTAAAACCCTCGAATGTAGCTTTCCTCATTCTTTGTTGCCTTCTCATTGAATCTTGGTTAAATTATCGAAAGGCTGCTGTTTAAACCCACGCCCATAATTTCTAGGCACATTCGAGAATTTCCCAGGGGCTCCCTAGAACGTGGGTCCTGAATAGCTCATAACTTATTTTCCTCGACATATTCCAGCCATGGGCCTTTATGGTGCATTCCACTTTCCTACTGGCACATTCGCGCTAGACACAAATATATTGCCAAATCTCGATGATTTATGCATTTCTATTTTTCCCATAGGAGCATTATATTAGGGCATATGTATCTGCCTCATGGTCAGCCCAGTGTTCGCTTTTGCCTTCTCTCGAATTTTCTCAACTCTATAACTCTTCAACAATTCTGATTCCTCAAAAGCTTTAGCAGCGGCTCTATCGAACACCACACTACATCAAGGGCATAACATGACCTCCCCGTCAACATCTTTTTTCTTGGAAAGGAAGTCGATCAGACTATCCCCTTCCTTTGGATAAATTGGCTCTTCATCCTTAGCGAAATCATCCAGCAGTTCTTCCAACTTTTCGTCTAAGATGGGCTCAACATTTTCATCTTCATCAATATTGACCTTGACCATGTTGATCCCCGTTGAAACTGGCTCTACATACCCAGTATGGGCTACAAATGGATTAGTATCCACTTTCATCTCTTTCTCCTCGAAAGCGAGATGACCTTCAGTAATCGCCTTTTTGATCATGTCCCTGAAACATACACAATTATTAGTCCAATGACCATACATGTTATGAAATTTACAAAACTTTTTCCCTTTTCTTTGCTCGAATGGAGGAATTTTATGGTTTTCTGGGAGTACAATCTATTTATCTTTTAACAAAATATCGAATATTTTATCAGCTTTCGTTACATCCAAACTATATCGTTTTGTTGTGCCCCTTTCTAAATTATCTCCTGGTTTTAACATCTAACATTGATATGTAGGAGCAGGATGCAATTCAGCTATGTTTACTTCGAAATCCTCACTCAGACCCTCATAATTAGCATCCTCACTGATCTCCGCATTCTCTATGTAAGTAACTTTTTCTTTTCGAACGAACCTATTAAACTTTCTTAATTTTTCTTTCTCTATCTTAATCTGTTCGATCCTTCTCACTTTTTCTGCTAACTGGGCTATATCCCTTAACTGTTCATTCACCATTTTTTTTACGAATTGAAAAATCTAACCCTGTAGCAGCAATTTTAACCAATTCGTGTTCAGGTATGTTGGTATAACATCAAGATTTTAATTGCCTGAACCTATTCAAATATTCGTCTAATGTTTCATGATTTTTCCTTTTTATGTTCATTAAATTGACTAGACTCACTTTAGTTTAACCTCGAAAAAAGTGTTCATGAAAATTTCTTTCTAATTGAGTCCAAGTATTTATCGAATTAGCACTACTAGAAAAATTAAAATTAGAGAGGGAAAAAATCCGTCACTAATCTTCATAAAATCCGTCACAAATAAGTTAGTGACGGAATTTGTGACGGAAATGATTCCGTCACAAAATTTGGCGTCACAAAATATTTAGTGACGGAATTAAGGCATCACAAACAATATAATTTCCGTCACTAATTTGTATCAATAAATGTTTCTGTCACTAATTTGTATCAATAAATGTTTAGAAATTAATAAAAATTCGTCGCAATTTGTGAGGGATTAAATCCCTCGCAATTTGTGAGGGATTAAATCCCTCGCTATTTGAGAGGGATTGAGAGGTATGTGAGTCCGTCACAAATTGTGATGACACAAAATCCCTCACAAATTGTGATGAAAGAATCCCTCGCTATTTGAGAGGGATTAAATCCCTCGCTATTTCAGATGGATTAAATCCCTCGCTATTTGAGAGGGATTGAGAGGTATGCTTCGTACTACCCAGAAAGGAACGAGAAGACCTAGACCAAGGATCAGACCCGCAACAGCAAGGACAAGTAAAGTGTGTATCCTAATACAAGAATATTTGGCGCCCACCGTGGGGCCGAAGAGACGTTTTCAGCCCCCTTTTTCTCTACTGACTAAGATCGAGACATGGTAGTTACGCGCAAAGGACTATCAACATCGACCCAACCGATCCCTAACCCCGAGAACAATCCTGGCATGACTGACCAAGAACAATACCCGTACGGAATGCCTCAAACACAACCGGAGCCTGCAACACAAGAGGTCCGACAGAACACCACCGAAGCCCAGCCTGACCTCCACGATGACTTGCGCGCATTGCGCGAGGAAATGGCAGTAAACATCTTTAAATAAATATAGAGATGCATAATATTTGGACTTCATAATAAGTTATATTAATATTCATTTATCCATATTATTGATATAAAATTTCAACTCTATTTACACTATGATTAGGAAGAGGAAAGTTAATAAGAAAAGAGAAGAAGTACAAGGAAATGAATAGCAACAACCAAACATTATAAATTACACCTAATTGTTCTTCCATCCCGGCAAGGATTGATGGCAAATTGATGGCAATAACGTGTATTGAGTCTGTATTCATTTATTTATGTCCTTGGTTTTGTACATGTATTTAAACCCTGACAACGTGCTATCTCGTACACGAAGAGATCCAAAAAGACATCTCAACAAAGCATAACAATAAATTAAATTTAACTGATTAGAGATCTCGAGCACATTTTTATTATGACTATATTTTTTTTCTCTCTTTATATAATTAGTTTAATTTTTTTTTTAATTTTCTATCAAGGTTATTTCTAATACTATTGAGTTAAAAATTAAGCTATATCACATGATTGTCGTTGACCTAACGATTTTTTTATATAGAATAAGAGATGAACACGAGTTTTTGACTAAATATATTGATTGTCTTTGTATTATGTAAATGATTGTTATTAGGTTAAATTTGATCCCTTGATTTTTAAAATACTTTTTGGTGTAAAAATAAAGTCTTCACATCCAATCGAGACCGACAATAATAAAATTTTGTATATAGCGATACATGTAATTTTTTATTTTTTATTTATATATTGTGGCATATACTGATGGTAGCCGATAAGGCCGAACACCCGATCCAAACGAGCTAATCGGCCTTGTTGAGAACACCGATCACCTCTTATCTGGGCTGAACAGGTCGGTGTGCTCGGCCATGTTACGGAGTTATGTCAGGACAATTAAGGAGAGATTAATTTACCTAATACACTAGTTTAACCCCTAATTCTCCGGGACCCATTCCCTAATCGTGGCCCAATAACAACCACTATAAATAGACCTCCAACGAGGTACGTAACTAATTTTCAACTACCGCATTTAATACGCCGAGCACTTACTTGAGCGTTGGAGTGTCTTTGCAGGCACCCCCCTCACTTCGTACTACCCAGAAAGGAACGAGAAGACCTAGACCAAGGATCAGACCCGCAACAGCAAGGACAAGTAAAGTGTGTATCCTAATACAAGAATATTTGGCGCCCACCGTGGGGCCGAAGAGACGTTTTCAGCCCCCTTTTTCTCTACTGACTATGCCAAGTATTTATCGAATTAGCTAGGAGGCAAAGTTGTAAACCATGTAAAAGCATGTTTAGTAAGAGAACTTGGGAAATAATTCATCTTTAAATATTCATTGTTCCCTAAATCCCCACATTCAACTAAATACCTTGTTATATGTTCAACAGTAGACTCATTTAATTCTCCCGAAAATTTTGAGAACTTTGGGGTTTTTACCCCTCTAGGCAGTTCTACTTAGGTTATGTATTCTGGGAAGCCAGACACAAAATAAGGATGCTCATTTCGTCATACCTCGAAGTCATGCCTATTTAATACCCTCTCTACAACTTGATCTAAATTTTCCTCGAGGTTCGTATGAGGCCTACCTAGATTTCGGGGAAAACCTTCATTCCCAACATGATTTTCTACTTCGTTCAAATTTGCACTCATGGCTCTTGAAGGCTGATTATCTCCCACTTTATCTCCTAATTTATTTATTAACTCATATAGAGGGGTGAGTATATTATGCATCTGAGTCAATGATAAATTAACCATTTCATGATTACTATGGTCCACCTGTTGTCGAAGGGCTATCATAGCTTGATTACTTATACCTGTGGGGACATAGTTACTTTGTCGAACTAGAGATCCTTCTTGACTGGTTCCCACATGTTGATAAGAATCTTGCATAACAAAACCCATTCCATTTGGAGCAGGATTGTACCCTTGTGGCGATACATGCATTTGTCGATTTGGCCCTAAATTATAAGGCAATGGCATCTCTACATGTATAGGTTGAGTAGTTCGCCAATTTGGAGGCATACCCCATGGGTATTCTCGAGTGGCATTTAAAAATTCTTGAGATACATTTATTTGTCTAGCCACATTCTCAGGTACTACAGGAGGTGGCGTTGCCCCCCTTGTCAGGATAGTTACGTTTTCCAAATTAGGATTTGAATTTCTATTTTCCATATCCACTAGAACATCGTTATTCACCTCTCTAGATGTAGACATGGTTCTTCCACTCCTAAGTCTCATAAAACATACCTAAAACTAGTTTCAATTATGTTTCAATACAAAACAAGTCCCACTGGGCATGCCAATTTGTTTGTGGGAAAATTCGTTTATGAGTTCTTTTTATTTAAACTAGAAAAAGTGTCCTTTTTCAATTTAGGTATGTATATATGCTTAACGCGCCAATTATGCTAAATGACTGAAATCAACATGCACTGATTTCTAAATATTCATAAATAATCATCACGACACAATTCTCATGCGTGTAAACATTCAAATATATTGAGTGAATAATATATATTGGTAATACAAATCATAGTCCGATTCACATAATTGTCAAGTTACAATCTAATGATTCTAAGAACAAACTACAAACTATGGAATTTAAAAAAAACTAAACTAATCCTAGGAAAAGAAGGAAAATATGGCCAAGAAGTTGTCATACCCAGCAATTCCATGCACAGAAGCCATATGCGCAGGCGGTGAGTGCTTATGAGAGTGCAAGTATGATTTTTTCTGACCCTTGGGAAGTAATGTGCTTCTCATATTTATAGAGCCAGTTGATAGTGGTTAATGTTGTGCGGGTTCATCATGGGCACATAATTGCTGTCCACTACATCCACGTCGTGGCTTAAGTATAGCCGTTCAACCCATGTGTTCTTTATTTCTTCTACTCGCTAGCTTAGTAACCACCTTGGTGTAACTGCCCAACTGCTCGGGAACTCTAATAACCTCTTTCCATTTTATAAATTTCGATTCCCCTCAGATATGCACATTCCTATGGTCCCCCTTCTCTTTGTTTATGGTAGTCACCCTTTTTGATTTCTTTTTCGAGTAAGTTCTGAGAGAATCTCTTTGAGAGGCCCTAACAACGTCCCACACTATACCATGCTCACGCACCCCTATTGCACCTTATGCTCAGGGTTATGCCATGCATGCATTTGTGCCAAGACATCACAGTTAAAGAAAAAATCATAACCGAAATACTAGGAACAGATTCAAAGTTTAAATTTAAACTTATAGGGATTTTATCTATTAGATAGATAAAGATTTTATCTATTAGTTAGCTAATAATCTATAACAACTTTCTGCTGAAACAAATCTCTATTGTCACAATTTTCTATTACAACAATAGTATATATATACACTTGTACTCATTCATTATAATAAAAAAAATCAATCTCTCTTGATCATCTTCAATTTCTATCTTGGTATCTAGAGTTGTGTTCGATTCCTATGGCAAACTCTGATTCATCTTCCTCATCCAACCTCAAAAATATCCTTTCCATTCCCTACTCTATCAAGTTGGACAGAGGGAATTACAGATTGTGGAAATCATTGGTATTACCATCGCTTAGGGGTCACAATCTTGATGGATACATATTTGGCACAACAAAGTACCCCCAAGAGTTTATCATTGATGAGACTGGCAAAAAGAACACTCCAACTTTTGTATATTGGACTTCAACAGATCAACTACTACTTGGATGGCTCATCAATTCCATGACCCAAGAGGTTACAACACAACTACTTCACTATGAAACATCACAACAGATTTGGGAAGATGCCCAAAGTCTAGCTGGAGCCCACACACGATTAAGAATCACCTTCTTGAAAACTGAGTTTCAGAGAACCAGAAAAGGAGGACTAAAGAAGGAAGAGTATCTCACCAAAATGAAAGAAATTGCTGATAACTTAGCACTTGCTGGTAGTTCAGTTTCAATAATGGATCTGATCACTCAAACACTCGCGGGCTTGGACAACGAATACAACCCAATCGTGGTTAAACTTTCAAACAAAGAGAATTTGACTTGGGTTGAGATGCAAGCTCAAATTTTTTACCTATGAAAACAGGTTAGAACAAATCAATAACCTATCAAATATAACTTTAAATCCATAAACCAATATTGCAACCATAGGAGATACTAAAAGAGGTAGAAGCAACTCTTTTGGAGGATGGAGAGAAGGACAAATTAATAGAGGTGCAAGAGGAGGCAGAGCTCGTGGCAGAGCAACCAAAGACAGAAATATATGCCAAGCTTGCTGTAAACTAGGTCATGCTGCAAACCGTTGCTACCACAGATTTAATAAAAACTATATGGGACAAAATTCTGATGAACAAAAATTAGAAAAAAATAAAGAGCAGAATTATAACTTTAATGCCTACTTAGCTTCATCAAGTATAGTGGAAGATCCTGATTGGTACTTTGACAATGGGGCCAGTAACCATGTCACATATGATCAGAATAAGGTTCAAGAGGTGAATGAAAATGATGGTAAGAGTTTCTTGACTGTTGGCAACAGTGCAAATCTTAAAATTATTGCTTGTGGTAATAGTTCACTTGATACCCAACAGAAAAGCTTGAACCTCAAAGACGTACTTTATGTCCCCAACATAACAAACACCTTGCTAAGTATTTCTAAATTGACTTTTGATAATGATATATATGTGGAATTTCAAGATGCTACTTGCTTTGTGAAGGACAAGTTATTAGGGAGAATCCTACTAGAAGGGAAAATTAAGAATGGACTTTATCAACTACCTGGTGGTTATACCTCAGCAAATAAAAGACCACATATTTTTTCAATAAAAGAGACCTGGCATAGAAAACTTGGGCACCCGAATAGAAAAGTACTTAATGAAGTGATGAAGTTATGCAACATTGAAGCTTCTCCATGTGAAAAATTTGAATTTTGCAAAGCATGTCAATTTGGGAAGGCTCATAATTTACCTTTTCAAAATTTTGTATCATGTGCAAAGGGACCTCTTGATTTAGTACATTCTGATGTTTGGGGGCCTGCACCATTAGTTTTGTATCAGGTTTCAAATATTGTTTTATTTCTTGATGTTTGGAGTAGATTTACATGGATTTATCCTTTAAAACAAAAATCAGATGTGTTTCAAGCTTCCATTCAATTCAAGAACCTTGTTGAGAATCAATTTAATAAAAGAATTAAAGCACTTCAATGTGACGAAGGTGGAAAGTTCAAATCCTTAAGCAAAGTACTAATAGAAACTGGAATTCAGTTGAGAGAATCATGTCCATATACATCAACCCAAAATGAAAGGGTTGAAAGGAAGCATAGACATATTGTTGAATCTGGTCTAACACTCTTGGCTCAAGCCAAAATGCCACTAAATTATTGGTGGGAAGCTTTTTCCACAACTGTATTTCTCATTAATAGGCTACCCATTTAAGTTATAAAAAATAAGTCACCTTACCAACAATTGTTTGATAAAAATCCAGATTATATTTCCATGAAAACCTGTGGGTGTGCTTGTTACCCTTGTTCCAAACCATACAATCAACACAAGCTACAATTTCATACTACTAAATGTGTGTTTTTAGGGTATAGTGGCTCTCACAAAGGTTACCAGTGCTTAAACTTAACAGGAATAATTTTTATATCACGACATGTTGTCTTTAATAAACATCACTTTCCCTTCCATGATGGGTTTCTAAACACAAGGAAACCAATTGAAATAATTACTTGAGGTTAGATGGAAAACATAGAAGGGGGGTTAAATATGTGTGTGTGTGAACAAAGATATCTTAAAAACCATTTTTGCAAGAATGATATTCTTCATCCATTGCACTTTTGAATACCGGACAATTATGCAAAGATTGCTTGACACGAGGTCATGACGTCTAAAATATTTATCATCTGCTGAAGAAAAATGTTTCATATACAACAATAACTAAAGTTCTTGAATTTTCCTTTTCAAGATAATTTCGTATAAGGATAAGAAGTAGATGAAACTCCCAGTATAATAGGTTTGTCAAACAAGGTTAGAGTCTTCAAAAAAAAAATAGTTTTAATGATATGTAACCATTGGACAAAGTCTTTCACAAAGATTTAATCAATAAGAAAGATTTGCGTCTAAGTGATAAGAAAAGTAATACAATCATTTTATACTGGTTCACTCAACTGAGCTACGTCCAGTCTCCTTCAACTGAAAGGTTCCACTAGATATCGAAATAAAGAACATTGAGTATTATCGTCCACTCCTGGCCCTGAGTATTCTCGACCACTCCTGGCCCGTTGGCTTCACTCACCAATGCTAGTATTCTTAAACCATTTCTGGTTCCCCAAGTATTCTCAACCACTCCTGACCCATCCACTTCACTTACAGACGCTAATATTCTTTGTTCAATCACTTCTGGCTCTCAGTGATTATTCTCGACCAACTCCTGGCCCGCCAGCTTCACTCACCAGTGAGTATTCTTTGACAAGCCCCTCCAGGCTTTACAATTATTCTTCCCCTAGCCTCTTCAGGCCTTATACATAATAAACTTGTGCTTTGGCTTGAGTGCATACATAATCTCACAAAGAGGATTTGGAATTTTCTACATTCTCTAAGGTTTGCTACCTTAGTCTTACAGAGACTTGTATTTCAGTGTTTGGGTTACTCTCATGGAGAGGATACATAGGTTTACAACACTCACTAAAGTTTTTGGCTCTTCTTCTGATACTCCATTTCCTCTTACCTATAGTAGGTTTTATCTAGTGTTTGTTGAATGTTCTTCCGTCCATGATCATACATAAATTTAATGCTTGACTAACCATCATCCGATTCTCTTGTTTAATTTGCACAAGCATTGTGGATTCTTGCATTTAATGCCTTTGATCTTGCATTAAATGTTTGCTTGCTGAACCTGCGTTCCACGAGGTCTTTTGTACCATTTGTTTGCTTCTATGTTTGGCATTAAGATATCTCTGTACTTTCCTGATATTATTGCTATAGAGGCATTGTCCTTTGCTGACTAGTAGGTGTACTTGCTCTGACACACGCAGCTTTGATTTGTGGATAAGCGATAGTCCATTTTTCTTTTCTTTCTTCTTCTATTTTGATGACTTCATGTGTTCTTCTGAGAGTGTGGGTGCTAGGTAGTTTGTCTCGTTGTGTCTTCAGACGCAATCCAGCATTCTTGATTTTCATCTATGTATTCGAGTCTCCGTCTGGTCGGCTGCATAAGTTCTTGACTCCGTCTAGGATGCTTTGACTTAGTTTTGTCCAATGTCCATGGTCTTGTATCATCTGAGGCTTTATTATTTTCCTTCTTGTGCTGGAATTGATTTCATTTGATCGTTTTATCTCTTCATCTAATGTGTTGTTAGCTTTTGCCCTTCATCTAGGTTGTTCGTGTCTTGTTCTTTAGTTCTCTTATGTCTATGTTTGTGGATGTCTTTGTCTGATGTATTTCCCTTTATTTGATCAGCCTTTATCCAGTGCATGACTCATATCTCTTGGTTCTGATGTGGACGGTAACCCATGCATATTCTCTATTCTTCAACTCGCCTGTACTTATATCTGAAACACTAACACACTTGTTAGAAATAACAACATGTATTATATTTGTCTCATTCAAAACCTTACTGGAAATTGCTTTCGTGTTCGTCTGACTTAACATTAATGACCCTACAAGTTTATTGTTTCCTATTTTTCGTACAGGTTCCAATGTTGTAAATAAGGAATAAATATTGTTGAATGGTAGGGACTCAGCGACAAAAAATGTTAAAGCTTGAGCCTCTCCAATTTCTCATGGCTCAAGCACTAAAAGTAGTAGTAGCATATCACAAGGATCCATTAACATACACAATAATAAAAATTTTAGCAGCAATACTTGAAGCAAGCATCAAGTTGAGCAGGCTAAGAACCAAAACACAGCAGATGCAACAATAAGCCAGAACACTCTCATTAACAACAAAATAGAAAACAATGTAGAGTCCATCAATCAACATCAAATGACAACAAGAAGCAAAGTGGGAATAATTAAGCCTAAGAAACCTTATGTAGGAGCTATCAAAAAGACATTAGAAGAGCAAGAACCCGAGACAACATATAAAGCCTTAGAAAATCCAGAATGGAAGGAAGCCATGCAACAAAATTCAAAGCATTAATGATGAACAAAACTTGGACTCTAGTGCCTTACTAAGGACAAAAAAATATAATAGACTGCAAGTGGGGGTTCAAGACAAAGTATAAAGTTGATGGTACAATAGAAAGAAGAAAAGCAAGATTGGTGGCTAAAGGTTTTAATAAACTCTTGGACTTGACTATGATGAAACATTCAACCTTGTGATTAAAGCAATTTCAATGAGAATAATCTTATCAATTGCGATACATTTCAACTGGGAAATTAGACAAATGGATATAAATAGTGCATTTTTGAATGGAGAATTAAAGGAAACAATATTTATGAGGCAACCAGAGGGATTTATGGATAAGTCAAAACCTCAACATATTTGTAAGCTAACTAAAGCCATCTTCGGATTAAAGCAAGCACCAAGATCATGGTATGACAGATTGAGGAATGCTTTACTTAGGTGGGGATTCAAGAACACTAGAAGTGACTCCTCTCTTTCGGTTCTCATGAGTAAGGCGCATATTACATTTTTACTAATATATGTTGATGATATGATTATAACCGGCAGTAGTAGCAGTTTTCTATCCTCATTTATCAAACAACTAAATATCATGTTTGCTCTCAAAGATCTTGGAAGTCTACATTACTTTCTTGGAGTAGAAGTGTGTAGAGATGCAAGTGGACTATATCTCAAACAAACTAAATATTTCTTTGATCTTCTAAAGAAATTCAATTTAGAGCATGTCTCTTCCTGTCCTACACCCATGGTGACTGGTAGATCTCTCTCTGAAGAAGCTGAGTTAATGAAAAATCCTACACTTTATAGAAGAGCAATTGGTGCATAACAATATTTAACTAATACAAGACCTAATATTGCTTATTTTGTTAATCGACTCAGTCAATATATGAATGCACCCACTGTAATTCATTGGTAATCTGTCAAACATGTGTTCATATATCTAAAAGGGACAATAAACCATTACCTACATATAAAGCCATCAATTGATCTAGACATAACTAGCTTCTCTGATGCAGATTGGGCAATAAACATTGAAGATAGAAAATCAGTTGTAGGATATTGTGTGTTCCTAGGAGAAAGTATAATAACTTGGTCCTTTAAGAAACAAAGAGTTGTGTCAAGGTCAAGTACTAAGTTAGAATGTAACACCCCAATTTCTTTAAAA